GAGGCTCAAATAATTCAAACACTAGAATTAGCGAAGTCGTTCAACAACAAAAAATAATCATTGATTTAATAATAAAACATTTTTCTTATGACCCCTGATAGGGATTTTTTTATCAAAAAAATTGTCAAATTACAAGGTAAAATTGATAATCTACACAAGATTTTTAAAGAAATTGAAGATGAAAAAGACCGAAAGATTGCTGATCAACAAAAAGAACTCCAAACCATCGAGGGGCAATTAACAACTTGCCAACAAGAAAAAGATGATTTACAAAAACAATTGGATAACAAAATAACAGAATTGGCTAATTCTAATTTATCTCAAGAGCAAAAGTCGCAACAAATAATTACTTTGGCTTCTGAAAGTCAGAAACAATTTAGTAAAATTAATCAACAATTATCCCGGGCTTGACAAAGTCATCAGCAAATGCAACAGAAGGTTATTGAGAATTTAAATAAACCTTGTTCGGTTTGTCCGGAAAAAGAAAGGGCTAAAGGATATTTGGAGCAGAAAATTGTCTGATTGTTGGGGATTATTGTGATTATGTTGTTCTTTTTTCTTATATTTCATGTTTGGTTTATTCGGATGGCGTGGAGGAAAAAGGAGAAGAAAGAAAAAGCGAAGTCGGGGTGTTGTCAGCAGAAGGTTTCAGTAAGGGTTAATTAAGAATGAAACAATTACAAGTAATTATTCATTTTCTAAATTTAATTGATTTTGTCTAGATATCTTATCCTTAAAATGTATAATATAGTTGAGATACGCCTCTGCTATATGTATTAAGAGAGGGAAGAAGAGGTGAGAATTATCAATGTTATGCTTCACTTCCATTGAGTTTCAGGTGTTTTTTTTTGGTAATTCTAAAAACATACGAATTCTCTCTCTCTCTCTCTCTCTCTTAATAGAAAGTGAAGCAATGACCATTATCGCCTTTATTAGCCAAAAAGGAGGAGTTGGTAAATCCACTCTGGCTCAAGCATTAGCGGTGGAAGCCAAAAAGCAGAAAATTAAAGTCCTCTTGGCCGATTGTGATTTCCAACAAGGAACTAGTTATGAATGGGCTAAAATAAAAAAAAACATAGAATGTCGCTTATTTAATCAAGTTAAAGATATTTGGTCTTTAAGTAAAGATTATGACTTGATAGTAATCGATGCTCCAGCCCGCACTAGTCAAGGAACCTTGGAAATAGCCAAAATGGCTAATTTACTAATCCAACCCACCGGAGCCAGTCGAGCCGACTTAGTGCCAGCCGT